TTGGCTAATGAGTTTGCCGACCGCTGATCTAGATGAGCATGGAAATTGTGGGCCACTTTTATTTTCTAAATACTTTTGTGTTTTTGGTGAATAAATGCATGTGTGCTTTTAAAGTGACAATGGTAATAATGGCTTTCTAGGAACTGGGCAATTACTGGTGTATTTTGCTTTCTCTTTATTTTCTGAATTATCCGAGTTGTTTTCTTTTATAAGGAGCATGTAATAATACCTTCATAACCAGAAATAAAGCCATTAAAATAACCAGAAAAACAGCAGGCAATAATTGTGTTTTAAAGACACCAGTTATTGAATTACACCCTGAAAAAGGGCACACTGTCTGCAAATTACTCCCCGTAATTTTAAGAATTAGAGAAAGCTGTAGAGAGCCCTTACATTTCATCTTAAGTAGTCCGTTACAGTGCAGAAGCGCTGTTTGTGGAAATCATCTCATGAATACTAGCAGTGGACGTTCCTGTCCGATTTCTGTGTTCCCAGTCAAGAAAGTTAAATTTAAGTAAGTTCTCTACTTTTGGAGCCTCCAATTTTTAAAAAATATATTTTATTGATTTTTTTCACAGAGAGGAAGAGAGAGGGATAGAGAGCTAGAAACATCGATGAGAGAGAAACATCGACTAGCTGCCTCCTGCACACCCCCCACTGGGGATGTGCCCGCCACCAAGGTATGTGCCTCTGATCGGGAATCGAACCCAGGACCCTTGAGTCCGCAGGCCGACGCTCTATCCGCTGAGCCACACCGGTTTCAGCATGGAGCCTCCAATTTTGGATTTGGGGTCCTGTAGCCTGCTGTCACTAAAGGTAATTTAATTGTTGAATAAATGCTTCTGGAAAGAAATGTTAAGCAGTGATTGCCTCTGAGGAGCGGGAATAGAAAGGAATATGAGGACTTTCACTTTTTTATATCCTTTAGTATTGATCAAAATTCTTTTATTTTATTTTACTAAGTTTATTATTTTTTAATTGTGTTAAAAAAAAAAATACAGCTGTGGCCAGGTAACTCCATTGGTTGGAGCATCATCCCAACATGTCAAGGTTGCAGGTTCAATCCCTGGTCAGGCACGTGCAGGAGTCACTGATGGTACACAAATAGGTAGAGAACAGGACAGTGTTTCTCTTCCTCTCGCTCTAAAACCATTAAATAAGACAATTTAAAAAGAAAACAAAAACCCTTAAAAAGTCACAAAATTTACCCAGCGTGGGAGAGAGGAAAACATAGACGATGAGAGAGAAACACTGATCAGCTGCCTCCTGTACACCTCACACCAGGGATGGAGCCCGAAACTCAGGCTTGTGCCCGGACCGGGAATCACACCGGCGACCTCTTGGTGCCTGGGCCGACGCTCAGCCAACTGAGCCACCCGTCCCAGGCCAGGGCTGCCAGCGACAGCAAATAAAGACACAGGGCACTCAGTTAAATTTGAATTTTGGATAAACAATTTTTAAAAAACTATTAGTATGTTCCACACAATAGATAAAAATTATTCACTGTTGATCTGAGAGTCAAATGTAACCAGGCGACCTGTACCTTATCTGGCAACCCCAAGTCCAGGGTTAGGGGCTCCTGCCCAGGACATCGACTCCAGGCCAACCTGGGCTGCCCTATTCACAACCTTCCCCACAGTGCCTCACGGTGCTATGGCATTCCACATTCCCACTCACCGTACAGACCACCACCCACCCGCCCGCCCACCCCAATCCCCCCGCCACACACACACACACACACACACACACACACACACACACACGCCCTTACCTTGTGGCTATCCTTCCTTCTAGTAGCAGCTTCCCAGAATCCTAGCCCACTCCTCAGAAGAGCTGGCCACACCCCACAGTGTCTCTGTTAAGCCCCCAAGCCCCCAAAGCAGCCACTGGCACTGAACAGCCACATCCCCAGCAGGTCTGTGACCTGGACTGTTCCATCCTCCGTGACCGTGTCCCCATCTGCATGGGAAGCGAACAGCCGCGGCCAATGTGCACTCACCTCGTTCCCAGGGCTTCACCTCCGCCTTGTCCTGAGGGGGCCTGCACCGCCCCAAAGGCACCCGGGCCCAGGGTCTGCACGGCTCTGCCTGCTGGGCACGAGCTTTCAAAGGAAGAGGGCCTCGCCCTGGCTGCTGCTCCTGTGGAGCATCAGCCTGCACACCAGAGGCCCTCAGGTTCGATTCCTGGCCAAGGGCACGTTCCTGGGTTACAGGTTCAATCCCTGCCCTGGTCCCGGCTCATGGAGGCAACCAAGTGACGTGTCTCACTCACATCAATCTTTCTCTCTCCCACTCTCTCTAAAAAAAGTCCTTGAGCGAGGGTTTAAAAAAGAGAGCCAGGCCAAAGATCTTTCCGTCTTCTCCAGTGTTCCCAGAGTAAGGTAAATGTCGCTTCCACAGGAACTACATAAACTAAAAATACCACTTTGGAAAGCTATCTGGTTCTGTACCATTTCCCCTGGGTCAGGTCCCATTCCGGTCACTGGTTATGCAGGCACAGACACCGGTTATGAACAGTTGCTTGGTTCTGCTCTGCCTGGAGTTTAAGGCTGTCAGCCAGGCGTGCCCTGCGATGGCCCGAGAGCAGAGCAGACAAGGATACTGGTGGGAGGTTCAGCCGAGGGTAGAGGGAGCCCGGTCAGCTTTTCCTCCCGGCCCCATGTGGGCTTCCTGAGGCTCCTTCACAATCCCCGCCCGAATCCCGTGAAAGGAGGCGCAGCACGTCAAGGACAGGGCAAGGAAATGCACCGTTTCCTCAGGATCGAGAGGGCCCGGAGCGAAAGCCAACTGGTGACAGACACTTGTTGCCATGTCATTGTCCCTTTCCCCAATTCTGAGTCACTTCCTTATTCCTCAAAGATGTCATGGAAGGTGCGGTGGAGAAATGGCTACACAATGACACCAACTCGTTTACCGGGGCTGTGACACAGTATAAACCAGAAGTCCTGAATCTATACTGACCAGTCTGCATCTCCGTCAGTCATTCTGAGCTGGCAGATGAGATGACACTCATTTGTTACACCCGTTCTAAACCTCCTTGAAACAGAGGAAGTCATTTAAAACAATACCTCTCCCCTTTTTAAAAAAATATATATTTTTATTGATTTCAGAGAGGAAGGGAGAGGGAGAGATAGAAATATCAATGATGAGAGAGAATCCTTGACCGGGCACACCCACACTGGGGATCCAACCCAGGACCTCCTGGTTCATAGGTCAATGCTCAAGCACAGAGCCACGCTGGTTGGGCCCTCTCCCCCTTTTATCTGCAAACCTTAATGGAAGAATTACCGAGAGATAATTTTTGGGTAATGCAACTACTCTCTATCTTCCAGTGATGGTTACTCAACTATACACTACAAAGGATTTTTAATCATCTTGAGAACTTACTAATTTTGATTATGTAGGTCTGAGATGGGTCCAAGGAACCTACATTTTAATCAGCACTCCTGTCACGTCTTACACAGGTGGTCCAACTGTCACATTCGGAAAAAACGCTGTGGCACAGCAAGGCCCACCCAGCAAAGACCCACCCGCCCCCCGTGAGAAAGCCCCAGACAGCTGCCTCTGCACACTCACTAGGAAAAGAGCAAAGCATGCCGAGCTGAGCACTGGCAATCACTGTGCACACCCGGATTCTGCTCTCAGCTCTGCCTCCACCTCCCTATTCCTCATGCCCCTATGTAACATGCTTCCAATCTGAGAGAATTAAAGGAGGTAAACCCTATAAGTATTGGGTATTAACATAAGCCCCTAAAACTTAGAAATAGTGTTCTAAATCCTATGTAGCAAACACATTTTACCTTTGATGCCAACACCTTTTCCAGGTATCAGTCTCTGTTCTGATGGTAAATCTGAACCAAAAATGCACTTTCAAAACTAGCAGTGACTAGCTGCTCCATCAGCTTTCAAGCAGCTCAGAAGTGTATTACCAAATATGGCTGGCTAGCCAGTTTCCAGTCTGTGCTGAGGGTGGGCTCCGGGCGTACACTACCAGCCAGCCATTCTGTACCTGGGGGACCAGAGGGCATCATTGCAATAAACTTGACCTCTCCCACATTCTCTCTCCTCTTCTCAGGAGGCACATCAGATTCACCAAGACTGGCCTGTGTCTGGGGGAGCATCCCCCCAGAAGGCACTCCCCTGGGAGAAAAGGCCTTGAGGAACAAAGGGAGCCAGAGGCAGGGTGTGTTTCTGTGCCTGGACCTCCTCGCACACAAGGCCATCTACCCTCATCATGCCGCCTCAAACACATGACCCCCGCAGCCCAGCAATCCCAGCGGAGGTCTAAGCAGCTGTGAACAAAAGTAATCTGAGTTCAAACCTCTACTGGGAAAGCTTCCTGCTCACCCATTCCCACTGAGATCGACTTACAGGTGGACGTAGGAGAACAGATTTTTGTATCATGTTTTCTGTGTAAGCCATTAAGCGCTTGAGTACTTTTATACAAAGAATGGGGTAAGATCCTCCACGTGACATTTCCTGGCAGCTGAGTTTTCAAGTTTGGGAAAAGATGCACAGACCACAAATGAATCTTCTGAACTGTATTTGGAATGGACAGAAATCTTTCCGGAGACCAGGCCCTGAGCACAGAGTCTGTCCCCCGTGACGTTTTACATCAAACTGTACAAAACAAAATTAGCCACAGTGATCTTTGGCACTAGAATGGGAAATCCTTAGCTGTTCGTACAATATCCAAACTGCATACCACACGACAGGAGATTGCTGGTTAACAGTGGTTTACATTTAGGTTATCTTAAAAAGGTGGAAGTCCTAGCTAAGTTTTTCAGCATCAGTACCCTAACCATATCTAACAGTGCCTGAGGTAGAGACTTCTGGAAGAGATTTATTAGAGAGAACACAATTGAGAGTACAATAAAGAAAAGGATTTCCAATCTTGGAAGCATATATAGCCAAATGTTTCTGCTGATTCAACAAGCCAACTCCGAAATGCACAACTCTTCCTTCCTTTCTTTAGGTAGAGATTTTGCTTGGGAGTGGGACTTTTGTTTGAACTCCTGGATTTTGGAGTCCTATGATTGCTTCTTTAAAAAGCATGGTTATTAACATGAAATGTGCACAACACAAACTGGCTTAACATTGTTCAAAACACAACTGCATTAGCGACATGTGAAATCTTGTAAACTCTCCATGATGTGTGGCCAGCATGAGTGAAAAGTATGCAATTCAGCCTAATGATTCTACTACTTGATGCTGACTGAATTATTACAGAACCATGATATATCGGTGAGTTGCAATTTTGTTTCCAAACTCTGTACTGGATCGGCGAGGGGCTTTATTATTTTCAGGTGGAAAGACTCTGCACGAGATTACATGATTTTATAAGGATCATCTAGTACCGGGAACCTTCCCATTAGACCAGCAGCTGGGTAACTGGCTTCAGGTACTTTCCTTCAGCCAGGAAAGACCTTTCCTTTATGGAAAGGCGTTTCTTAAAGCACCTTCAAGTAAAACATATTCGCCTTCTACTGAAAGCTGGCTGGCTAAACACTTATCATAATCTACAGGTATTATTTTTAGAAGTATATTGTCTCCGAAGTGAGGCAGGAAGCATGAAGATGGATATTCATAAGCTTAAGGGTAGAGCACAGGTATAAGGAATGGAAGTAACATTTACTTCCATTCTTGGTATAAACTGCTTAGAGCAAGTATTTTAATCCATCACTGATTGTGATAAAGAGCACTGAAGGACACCTGACTACCATCACAGTTCTTTTCAACTTTTTTTTAAGCTCTGAGTTCAGATAAATATCCAATAACCATAGTTGGTCTTCTGATACCTTTACCAACTGCTTCATAACACTTTTGAGAGGTAAGTGGTTCCTGAAATTTGGAAAAGTAAAAATGAACTGCCTAATAACATACCAAGAAGAAATGACATAATTAAGGTACCTAAGGATGATGTTTTTCTCTTTAAAGACATAGCTGTCCTTTTTTTAAAAAGACTGTTAGTAGTCCTGACCTCCAGAAACATTTTAAATGACAAAGTTCATTTTTATCAAAGTAATTCTATAGATATTAGACATTCGTCAAGGAAAATCCCCAGAAAAACTGACTTTGAGTGAGAACACACTTGTGGTTTTAAGTGAAATATCGAAACAGACAAAATTAAGTCATTAAGAAAACGTGAAACCACAAAATGAACATGAACATTTTTTAGGAGAAAATGTTATGAAATTATCCCCTCAAATTTGAACTAAGAAAAAAGCCTGTTCCTTTTACAAATCTCTCTGAATAACAGATTTTAAGGATGATGGCAAAGGACACGCCACATCTAAATAAATCCAACAGGATGCTAAGGTATATAAACATGATTGTATCCTGTTTCTCAGATGTGAAGAACTAAACACTCAACTCCTATCTAGAGAAGCAAATACCCTATGACAGAACATGTCTTACACAGCAATTCAAAGGAATATGATTCTGACAAGAAAAAATGCGGACACACTTTTCATACAAATTCCTGCGAGTTCCAGAACAATAGCTGGGATGATATTTTTATAGATTCAGTGTAGACCAAATCAATGGATTAACCTCGACACCGACAGGGCCATTTTTTTAATGCAGGTTCACAGATGTCACTAGGGGGAAATGGCTTTGGCAAACTTATGTTCAAAGGCTGAAAGAAATATAATAAGAAAGTGGTGAGAACTGAGAAACCCATGTCCCAATTAAAACTTCAGTGACAGAATAAAAACAGATTTTTAAATGTGCGTGCACATGTGAATATTTCTCTACCTACTTCAAGAAGGTGAAGAATGATCCAGACACAAAGGGTAACATTCTCATCAGAACGAGCCAGGCGACGAGCCAAGATGTTTGTAGGAACAATAGATACTCCTGGCACAATGTCGGCCTGGCACTTCCACCTGACTCCCTCCCTCTCCATCACCTTCAAACCCCCAACCTTCCTGCTGGCCAAGCCATGCTCTTCTGCAGGCTCTGAAGAGACAGATGAGAGTGTGTGTGTGTGCATCTTCCGTCCTTCAATTATGAATTAATTGATAGTTCCTTATCTTAGCTAGGCTTAGGTATTTAACATTTTGCCTGCTTTTGTATTTTAATTTCCTTTTATGCATTTGGTTTGAAGGAAATTGCATGTCTATTAATTATCCAGGATACATACATGTATAATTTCCTGAAATTTCCCTTTTAGTCTCACCTGGACTTACTTTGTGCTTAAGATGTTTTGAGATCCTGAGGAACTTCTCTAGGTCAAAATTATATATAAAAAAGCAACAAAATAAAGGTAAATGCATGGCTAGAAAATAAGCTTAAATCTTCTACTGCGTTGCTTTTGTTTGGGGGTAGGAGTAGGAGAAACGCAATGGAGACCAACAAAGAAAAAAGAAAAGAAATAAAGATGCTGTTCTAGAATTCTCGTTTTAAAACTAAGACATAAAAAAACTAATAATACTTTTAGAATTTCAAAGTCAGAGGTGGCTTGTGACAGCTTCCTGTTGGAAAAGAGTGAGCTACCCAAAATGAAATATTCCATAGTGAAGCAAAAGTCCCTCCCTTTAAACCTTCACCAAGCTCTTACTCAGAAGCTCACCAACTATGAGACAAACGATGTGAACCTGACAGCAGAGCAAAGCTCTCCAATATAATACAAGGTTGAAAATGGCAATAAAATACTGCAAAGTATGACTGTTACATGAACATTAATGTCTGTCACTGACAAACTGATATGCCTACAAATATATTTGTAGGGAATAAATACTGAAATGCTCTTTAGATCTATTTACAGATAAAACCCCTGGTCTGACTGGTCTTCCAGGCAGAAAACGACATTGGCAGGAGTATGCAAATTACAAAAGTTCCATGGTAAATTACAAAAAATAAGGAGTTTGGATTTAGGCCTTCCACCATATGCAGCACAAGGAGCTTTGAGTATTCTTAGCTTACAAGGGAATTTCTGTATTTCTAATGTTAACATATAAAGAAACTATCCATCACTGGTTTCTTGAGAAACTAGAGAGAGGCAGGTTTCTGGGTAGAGATTTAAGGCAAATCAGGTCCACAACTGAACATCCTATCAGGGCTCGTTTTCCAGGCGTGGCTGTGCTTTGTGGTAGAGGAGTCTTAGTAACTCAGCCTTTTGAAAGAACTTAAACGATACACCCATCAAAGCACACAATGGCAATGCTTGATAGTTAAAGGAATCCTGCATCGAATCATGTTTCTCCTTTGAAAATACCAATAGGTTTTCAAAGACTAGATACAACACCGGGCACAGGAGTGAGACTCTCAAGAAGGGATCTGAACCTGCTTCTACTGTGGCTTTCTAAGACTGAAAACTGACTCTTCCTCCTCCTCCTCATATATTTGAAATTATCCCTGTACCACGAGAGGCACTTTTATTAGGTGTAGCATCTATTAAAACATTAAACCTAGGGTAGAATATGCTGAACAAAGTAATAATATAGCCTAATAGGCATTGCCTTAGGATTTTCCCCCTTTAATATAAAAGTATAACTACAGTGGTCCAATGTACAAGTACAAAAAAAAGTTCTCATACTAAAAAAAAAAGAAAAAAAAAAGAAAAAAGAAAAAGTTCCATAATACTGTACATACAAAAATTGTTCAACAAGAATGATTTAAATATATCTGTTCTTTTCCAGATCTGGAAGACACAAATGTGAAGTCTACAACTGTATTACCGCTGGAACGCGTGCCCAGGAACACTATGTCTCCCTTCTTTTCCTGTCCCAGCCCCGCCTGCAGTCCCCTGAGCTCGGGTCACAGCCAGCAGATCCCTGAAGAAAACCAGAGCCAAGTGTTTCCTCGGTGGAAGTCATTACTCAGGGAGCCGCGGCTCACCATCGGCAACGGAGAGCACAAGCGCTGCGCCGGCCGAGATCAGATCCAGACGGAGGTCTTCCCATTCCCGGACCTGCTGCGCCGGCCGAGATCAGATCCAGACGGAGGTCTTCCCATTCCCGGACTTGCTGCTCGTGCTGCTCTTGTTGGACCCGGCTTTGGAGCCCACTTTGGCCTTTTTCTCCCGGGGGCCGGGGGGGTGGCTCTGGTGATGGTAGGCCTGGATTGCTAGGTCCAAGCGCTCCTGAGCCATTCTGATCTCCCGCTGCAGAGTCTCCAGCTCGGCGGGGAGGTGCTCCTCCTGGCTGCCGTACTGCTGCTCCTGGGCGCTGTTGGCCTTGTTCTGCTTGTAGGCGATCTTCGCGTTAGACAGCTCGGTGTACTGGATCTGATCTGGTTTGACGGCGATGTTATAGCCAGGGGGAGCAGATGGCGTATTCCAAGTGAAAGGGTAATTATAAACACCCGGGTCTTCCAGTTCTCTCCGTTTACTGTTTAGTGAGTCTCGAATTGTCCCAAAGCCTAAATGAAGCATCTCCCAAATGTTAAGCAACAGGCAAAGGCCTGTAACACCGTACATTATCAGGAGGAAGATGGTCTTTTCAGTGGGTCTAGAAATAAAGCAGTCTATCTTATGAGGGCAAGGAATTCTACTACACACATAAGATGGGTGGACCTGGAAGCCATACAGAAAATACTGCCCTATCAGAAAGCCCACCTCAAACACGGTCCTGGCCAGCAACTGCAGCACATAGATTTTCATGAGACCATCCTCCCGAATCCGCCGTCGGCCATCATGCTTGGGTTTAGGTTGGTTTTGCTCTTTATTTTCTTTCTCACTTTCTAATTCCACCTCTGGATACATCATGGGATCCTCTTCGTGGTCCTCTTCTGTCTCCTCCAGAGCCCGGTGCTGCTTCCAGCGCATGGCGTAGGGCTTGCTCCGCGCAGCCTTCTTGTCTGCCTCACCGTGCTCCATTTTGGCGATCTTGTGAATGGCGTAGCCCAGGTACATCACCGAGGGGGTGGCCACCAGGATGATCTGGAAGACCCAGAAGCGCACGTGGGAGAGGGGGGCGAAGGCGTCGTAGCAGACGTTCTCGCAGCCCGGCTGCTCGGTGTTGCACACGAACTTGCTCTGCTCGTCGTAGTAGATGGACTCCCCGCCGACAGCCGTGAGGACGATGCGGAAGACGATCAGCACCGTGAGCCAGATCTTCCCCACGAACGTGGAATGGTTGTGGATCTCCTCTAGCAGGCGCGTCAGGAAGCTCCAGCTCATGGTGACTGGCCTGGTCTGCCCTGATGAGAACACCCGAGGAAAATAAAGTCAGCAAGTGTTAGAAACTTAACTTTTTACGGATATTTCTACCTCCTTGAAATCTAACTTCAAGGCTCACACTGGAATAATTGGTAAAGTAAAAAGCACCTCACCCACTGCCCTCAGGTAGGACAGTCACCTCAGACTGTGAGCACTTGTCTGTGCCCCCAACCTAAGAGTCTGGCTTGCTTTCATCTTCCCTACAAGGTAAAATCATAGCTATAATTTCAGATTTATTTCTCAGAGTATACTGATTCATTACATATGCTATTACTTCACAAGGCCTTCAGAAGTTTATGAAATAAACTATTTGGTCCGGACATGATAAGACCTGGTGACAAAGTATTAAAATAACTTGAAAGATGGTATGGCTGCAAATAACGGGCAATGATCAAGAAGTAATGTCAGACAGACAGGCACTAGGAAAGCTCCCTAGCTAGGATTCTGCATTATGTGTCTGTATTACGTTTATGGTGAAAATGTCTACAGACTGAATCGTGAGGACATTACGTCCAATCAATAGGCAAATCCATTTAAAACAGCATTTTGAAGGATAGTTTTATTTTGAGATTCTTAGAACCATGTCCAGAATCCCGGTAAAAACCATCTGAAAAGGGTAATGCACATAAAATTCCCAATACTACCTCAGACACTAAGTACACCTAGAATTTCTCCTTCTCTTCTTCCCCCTCCCAGTTTACTTCTGCAGATTACAGGTGATTATCAGCATCATCAAAGAAGTTTAAATACACTTTACCTTTTATCCAGAACTCCTGCTATCCAAAATTTTCTTACAGAAATGATGTCTTGCTTACAATTTTTCCAGACTTCCTCTGGAAAAGGGGGGGGAAAAAAGAGGTTATAAGCTTCCTCCCACAGAAAACAATGCATCACTAAAATGTGCTTTTCAGGAAGAAATAATCAGGAATCAATCAGCATGAGATGGAAACAGGTATATGTTTGAATATTACTGTTTTCTCCTCCCAATAAATGTAGAAGGAGAAACTTCACAGCAGTGACCCAAAGAGTCTTAAGTCATTGCAGTCTAAGAAAATATGACAGGAAGATGAGTCATTCATGAAAATCTGAAGTAGAAGAACTTGGGCACCTATAGGAAAAAACCAAGGCAAAAAAAATCTCAACAAATTTAAACTGGTCGCTAAAGGCCTTGTGAAAATCCATCAGAATGCTCTATTCCTGCTCTATCCTGGTGCAGTCAACACTTCTCACTGGGATCTGAGCTGCCCGCTAGGAGCAAGCTATTTACCTAAAGCACCTAACCGCTGGCCGTCAGTCACTGGGACACTCTTGTTCCACAGAAGGTGGTTTACAGATTCAACTGCTAGAAAACAGCTGCATCTGTAATATGGTAAAAAACAACAACAAAAACCCCACGCCCTGACCCACGTGGCTCAGTGGTTAGAGACATCACACACAGAATGGTCTTGGGTTTGATCCTTGGCCCTGATTGGCAACCAATCAATGTCTCTCTCCCACATCCATGTTTTTCTCTGTGTCCCCTCCTTCTTCCCTTCTTCCTTTCCTCCCTAAAAATCAACAGAAAAAATATCCTCTGGTGAAGATTAACAAAAAATGAAACAAGCAAATAAAAATCCAAAACAAATTTTTGCTAATTATCAATTTCTGCCAAGTTTGAATAGCTATAGCCAAGATTCATCCATCAGATGCCAACTTTGTTCATTTAATAATTTAATAAATGAAATGTAAAATAACTCCTGGGTGTTATATGTTCATAGATTTTTTTTAAAATGGGGGGGGGGGGAATTAAGTACAGGAAAAAAAAAAAATCCCTCAGAACAATTTTGAAAAGGCCAGTGAAAAAGAGAAAAAGAAGTGTAAGTATCAAGATTTAGTACAAAATCCGACCACACAAAGATCTCATCACAGGACTGTGAGGTCTGACCAAGTCACTGAATCGATACCCTCCTCCTGGGGACTGACCTTCAGGCCACTTCACAGCCAACATTCCCTTTCGCTTACACCACATTCCACTTGCTAGGACCATGGTCTTCCCCCTCTGGACTTTCCCAGGATTTGGAACCCAGAGTCCCCGGAAAAGCCCGCCTACAGTCCTTCACAACCTCTGACTCCCTCGCCCTGGGTGCCGGCGCCAGGGGCTCAGCCCATGGGGCTCCACATGTCCAATAAACCTGTCCCGCTCTCGGCCTGTGCATACTTCCTTTGGCGACCCTAACAAGGACTTCAAGCACAACTCCCCTTTTCAGCCCTGATATCTGACTGAGCTCCCACTTCTCCGCTTACTGAATACATAAACTATAAAACCACAAAACAGGAAGTAATATGCAATCGTCAAATGGTGACGCAAATTAGGTTTCTCCATAATTATTCACACTCACAAGTTCAGATGCTGATTTCCCCCAAACACCACATCTAAAGCATTTCCCGAGCCTAAAAAATCAATAATCAACAAATTCTATGTGTTCCAATATGCCAAGATCATGAAAGAGCAATTGTTACTTGCTTAGAAAACCCCTTCTCTACACTTCATCCATACAAAGATGTCTTTTAAAATAATTATTGCTATGAAAGAATTTCAAGGGTTCAGCATTGGCCTTAGCCAGTCTGGCTCAGTGGATGGAGCACTGGCCTGTGGACCAAAGGGTCCCAAGTTCAATTCTGGTCGAGGGCATGCACCTTGGTTGGAGGCTCATCCCTGGCCCTGGCCCTGGCTGGGACGCATGCAGGAGGCAACCAATTTATGTGTTTCTCTCACATCAATATTTCTGTCTTTACCTCTGTCTTGCACTTTCTCTAAAAATCAATGGGAATATATCCTTGGGTGAGAATTAAAAAAAAAAAAAAAAGGGGGGGGGGAGAGTTTAGCATCTCATACAATAATCTAACATTGGGGGGGGGGGGAGAGAAGAAGTTGGTGACAAGCTCTTCAAGGTTTATGTAAGTTATAAAGCAGCTATTTAAACACGCCCAGAAGTACACACTGAATACCAGTTATGCTGTAGGCCTAGAAAATGCGGAAACCTCAGTCTCCATTTTCCATGGCGTTCGTGCCACAGCTCCCTACCATCCAGAACTTGAGCACAAATGATGTCCTTAGTAACTTGGCTCCAGCATAAAATGGGAGGTGGACAACTTTCTTCCTGAAATAACCATGGGTTTCCTGAACTCAGCGGCAGCATTACCACTGTACCTACTGCGGAGTTTGGGTTTCTCTTTGATCCTCTTCCCTTTCCTCCTTTCCGCCCCTTGCAAGCATTAAAAAAATTGTTTAAGTATCACAGAGTATATTATTCCAACAGGATGGGGGAGGTGAGAGAAGGAGGGAGGAGGCTGAATGAGAATGGTGGGTTCTGGAATGAACATTTCTAAGCAGTACTGTGTGGTCCTAGTGTTCTTGCTCCACTTACATCCGAACCTTTTTTTTCTTTTGCTCTGCTATCAGAAGCCTAAGATTCAGGACATGGTCGTCTCTGGCTTTCAAACAGACTTGTTACAGAGCAGGGAGAGAAAAGCAAGCAATTAACCTGTAAATTGCTCCCATGAAAAAATAAAAACCACTTCCATACTCCATCTCTGAATGGAAAACCATATGGAACATGTGACAGGCGCTGGTGAGAAATGGGGGAATGAGTGCCAAACACTCGAACGTTTAGGAAAGCCCCAACTGATTTATATGAACTTTTATGCTTAACATCTTCTTGAATGTATTTTTTAAGCTTTGGTTGGATTTATCTACAAATTCTAGGAAGTGGTATTATTAGGCCCAAGGAACGTAAGCCTGCTTGGTCCTTGCTTTGTGCTGTTATTTGACGTCCTAGCCTGGCAACAAATGATGACAGCCTTACCTCAACTTCATCAGCAAGCAGTCTGTTATGCCACTGTACGGGGTGCCAAATTACAGAAATTTGTATGTTTTTAATACAACAGGATACACATCCTCCGGATCGCCCCCTTTGAGGATTAGTTCTACGTACTAATATCCTTCTGCCCATTATCTGCAGAAGGTAGTCTTAATATAGTACAGACATAAACCATTTGACATTTAACATAAACACCTCATTTTACTGTCTTCCTTCAAATTTTATTATTTTTATAGTCACATCAGTCAATTACTTTAATAAGAAAAAATTTTAATGTTTGTATTGATTTTTTAGAGAGAGAAAGGGAGAGGGATAGAGAAAGAAACATCCCTACTGGGAATCAAACCTGCAGCCTGGGCATATTCCCTGACTGGGAATCAAACTGGTGGCTGCTTGGTTCATGAGTCAATGCTCAACTGCTGAGCTACATGAACAGGCTTGAATACATTAAAAGATGGAAAAGTTATTCTTTCAAAGAAGGATTTAAAAAATATATATTTTTATTGATTACAGATATGAAGAGAGAGGGGAGAGAGATAGAAACATCAATGATGAGAGACAATCACTGATCGGCTGCCTCCTGTACACACCCTACTGGGGATAGAACTCGCAACCCAGGCTTGCTTGGGCCCTTAACCAGAATCAAACCCAAGACCCTACAGTCTGCAGGCCAATGAGCGATCCATTGAGCAAAACCAGCTAGGGCTAAAACTTTTTTTTATTGATTTTAGAGGGAGAAAGGAGAAAGGGGGAGGGAGAAACACCTATCAGCTGCCTCCTGCACGCCCCCTACTGGGGGTCAAATTTGCAACCGGGGAATGTGCCCTGACAAGGCTCAACCAGCTGAAACACACTGGCCAGGGTTAACTGGAATCGAACATGGGACCTTTCAGTCCACAGGTTTGGCTCTATCCACTGAGCCAAACCGGTTTCGGTGTAGGATGGTTTTTAAAATAAAGAACACTGCAATTCACTGTAGCCCATCATTCAAAAGGAGTCACACATACACACAAAACACATACAGTACTGAAGAAAATCATGTCTGCTTATATAACATTTATTGGACAGAAACCAACTGTGCTATTTTTAGTCTATTTTCCAAATAACTAAAATTACTATCTGCCTTGTTTTGCACTAGAAAATAGAATTTAAAAATTAATTGGCATCAACATGGTAATAAATTACTTAATTCCCTCCAAAATTCTTTATATTTGATGACTTTTTCCTATCAGTAACATCCAACAGAACCACGTCAAAGTTACTGCATTTTTCTGTAAAACAGAACTTATTGGACTTTTGAAGATTAAATGTAAAGCATATTATTTGGATTACCTAATGAAATAGATTATATACGGTAATTAGACCCATTTTATCTATTCTTATTTGTTGTTTTTTAGAGGGAGAGGGGAAGAGAGGGAGGGGGAGGGGAGGAGAGAGAGTGGAAGGGAAAGAGGGAGGCAGAGGGAGAGAGAGAGAAACCTCAATGTGTCATTCCACGTATTTATGTATTCATTGGTTGACCCGTGTGTGTGCCGTTTGGGGAATCAAACCCATAACACCTTGGCATATCAGGATGATGTTCTAACCATCTGAGTTACTGGATGACAGCAAATTTTAAAACTGAATACATGAGGTCCAGAATGTTTATAAAATTTGCCTAAAATAATCTAATTTTGCCTGTTTTTTGTTAATCCTCAATGTTTTTCCCACTGATTTTTAGAGAATGGAAGGAGAGTGAGAGAAACAGTGATGAGAGAGACACATGGATTGGTTGTCTCCTGCATTGACCTTGATCAGGGCCGGGGATTGAGCCTGCAATAAGGTAGTGCAATTGAACCAGAGACCTTTCAGTCTTCCAGCCAACTTAGCATAATGTCTTCAAGACTCATCCATGCAGTAGCAGCATGTGTCAGAATTTGCTTCCTTATAAGGCAGGATAATAATCCATTATATATAATCTCTCATCAAAGTTT